AATGTTTGAGTAAAAAACAATGGTAAAGACAAAAATCATTTTTTAAAACTTAATGTATGCAATAGAGTACAGAAATTATGTGCACATTTCTTAAATAGTAACTCTAGTATAATGAAACAAGTTCCATTTATTTGAATATATAATATATAAATAAATATTAAATCAAATATTCAAATTTATATAATAAATAAGCGAGACTTTAGTTATCTGCGATTAAATAAGACAAGAGCTGTCATCAACCAACAATTCGGACCCAATAGAAGGTAAATTAAAAAAATCCCCCAGAAAACTCATCCATTGTGCGAACAATTCTGAAAAGGGTCTTATTTTCCACATAATTATACTCTTTTGATAAGAGTTTTCATAGCTTTAATATATAAATAAAACAATACGGATGAAAAGGTTTAATCCATAATATATTTTATAAGGCATAAAATGAGATAAGTCGTTTTGTACCGACGTCGCGTCGCGTCGTTTTAAAATATAAGAATAATTTTATCGTTGTAAACGTTATACTGTAATGTAATTAGTGTTTTGATAAGTAATACGATTATTATATTCTCGTATAGCTTTTCACTAGTTGTACTAAATATCGTTTAACTTGAATTATAATAGAAAAAATCAAGCAAATATATTTTCTTTTGCTTTTATATACATTACGGTAACATATCAGAAAAGGTAACTAAAATAACGAATTCCATATTAAATTATAATAGTGTTTCATAACAATGATAACTCTCCGTCATATCGTTAAGTTTTGACAGCGTTTATATTAATTACTTCTATACACCAGTGTCCGTATCTGTTTAAATAACTTTTTAATTAATTATAAATTAGGGCAGAACGAATTGTTTTCGTCTGTGTGTAATCAAAATAATTTAATTTCAAATTTCCGTCTAGTAATCTAAATGTTAGAAGTGATTACAGACTGATGTTCTGTTAAAACAGTGTGCCATATATGCGTCCATAGTCCATACTAATTCATCATTGCTAGTACGACGTTTTGGACTTTAAAATTTAAATCAAACAACTTGTTTTACTTTAATTATTGCTCGATTCTCTTTTGTTTTTATTTTTGGTCATTTTAAGCATGATGGTATATATTTCGATCTTGTTAATTCATCAACAGCACGTTGATGGATCTGAATGTGTCACAGCATCAATTTTTTGGTGTCAACTTGCGCACATGATCGGGCTTACTCATTCATTAAACGGAATATCCGCTTTATTAAAATGTATGACGTAATCCGCTTAAATGCAAATATTGATCCGCATTCCTTTGATGTCTTTTTGTTGCGGAAAAAAGCCTCTTAACAATGAATACCATAATTACCTAATAGGCGGTAGAAGATTAAAAATGTTTTGTAAGTTTATATTTTGCATATCATAAAAACGGCTTTAATGGAAGTCTAATGTTTTTATTTTAATGATTTTAATTTCATACAAGTTTTTAACAGTAATTAAGTATTTCGTTGAAAAAAATGTGTGTATGAATTTTAATAGACGATCGTAAAATTACTGTACAAGTTAACATAAAAACTACTATTAGAAAGTTAATTAATTTAAATATTTAAGTAACGTCTATTTTAGTTTATATAATAATATAGTGAAAAAGACAGTAAAATTGTAACAACATAATGTTTTATATGGGTTAAAACATAATGTAATAATATCTTGAAGATATACATTAAGAAGTTAGTAGATTTAATGATTTTGGATCTTTTTACTAAAAACGATGATTACATGAAACGTACACGAATATGAAATGCTGACGGTTTTTTAATTCACCAAGTGGCGCCAAGAGCGGTTTTAATCATGACAGCCTTCATTAAAAATAGGGGAGGAGGTTTTCAAATAACTTTATTCAAATTATGTTCAAGCTATCGGTTCCAGCTCTAGTGTCGAATAGTCATTATTAAGCTTTAATGGGCTCCGGATTTCGTCTATCGCTAGATCCTTATCGTGCCCGTCCGTCGTTAAAAACAAAGAAATTAATTTGGGCGTCATTGTGTCCACGTTATTTATTACGGTCGATTGGCGACTGTTCTCAAAAGGATTCTAAAATAACACGTTTTATTGATGGAGGTAAATTAAACTGTTAGCGCCTTTTATGTTTAGTAGAAAGAGATTTTATAAATATACCATTTAGCTGACATTGAAATGGTATTTTTTATTTGTTTACAAAAGAAATTTATATATAGCTAAAACTTTTGTTTTTAAATCTATGATTATAAAAGAGAGAAAACCGTGATTATTTTTATTCTATTAATATTTTGAGTCGATGAGATTATTTACTTAAAAGAATATTATAAATTAAATCTACCTATAACAAACGGAAATTTTATGTTAAACGACAAGATTTAGTTTTAATATGAATAAAAATAATAATATATTCGATATTTCATTTTAGCATTTCATAGCCTAAGCAAAAAGATTAATGATAGTAATCACTTTCTATGTGAAATATATATTCAAATAAAAATATCATAATATGATAATATTCGGTCCCCTCCGCGTAAAGCCGTTTTATGAGGGGTCTTTAAGAAAAGTCGCAATAAACGTTAACTTATATTAACTTAAATAATATTTATTTCGAACTTCGAGGTCACTTTATCATATAGATTTAGTTGAAGAGTAAAAAATATATTCCTTATTTTATGTTGAATCATTAGTGAGTCAAAGTTTAAATTTAGTTTTAGTTATAGCCAACAGTTGACCGGAACTAGCTTATAAACTAGAAATTGGGGCGACTAAAGTCTGCAAGCGAGTGTTAATTATTGTTGACATCAGTTGTGACGCTTGAGAAAAATAAATGTGCGAAGTGTCATCATGATGCGTTACGCTCTCAATGTACGCTTATAAAATTAAAGTATTAAATTAATACGATAAAAAATAGATGTAATGTTAAATGTATGTTTTGGAGTATCGTTCAGTGTATACTTTCGTTTCCGTAATTTCAATGGTTGTTATCATTACATTCGTAAAACAATTTGAGAATATCCAACTGTTACGTGGTTTGCGTTATAAAAATAAACTGCTTTATCCCATCTCGGGATGTGTTTGTTTTAAAACGAATTTATTTATGTTATTTAGAAGAAACACATTGTCGTATATTTCATTTCAATGTATGATATATAGGATATATTTTTTTTTATAAAAGAAAAGTATTTCATGAAATCTAATAAAAGAATGTTATTTCCCTAAAGCAGCTTCATCTCACTGTTATAAAGCAATATACAGCGATACTAAACCCACACACACACTTCGTCACGCATTCTCCTGTCAAATTTAATAATCATAAAATGTAGGTGGCACTGTCATAAACAAACTAACAATACACTATGCTTTAATAACAGCTAATAATTCGGGTTGATTAGTGAATTGTCCGCTTTGATACGAAGCTTTTGTTATATATAATATTTTAGGTTTATATGGAATCTGTTATGCATTATGAATGTTTAATAGATAATCTAAATATTTGTGGCATGAGTTATTCAGATGTATCTATGTTAATAGTGAGTTATACACGAAATAGCCAATGCCTCAAGACATATCTAGCGCGTTACTCATATCAGGGAGATTGGATTATATCGGAATGGATAATATATTAGGTAAGGCTAAAGGCGGGTGACTTGTTTTAAAACGATGTGCAGTTTGTAAACCAATAACTTTGATATGAAGTATAAAATAAAGATGTATTGAGGAATTAAAAATAATTTTAATGTTAATAAAAAGCAGTTTTTATTTCGAGCAATATGACGCTGATAAAAACTAGCAAAGTACCTGAAGCCGTATAGTAACGAATATGGACATGTGGATACTAGCTCCAGGTGTAGGGACAGCTGATGACCAGGGAGCGTGCCAGCCGCGTGCCGACATATGTCGTTATATTTGGCTATAATAAGAACAACCATACACATTTATGTGAACGATTTTAGTCATATCTGTAGTATGATATGAATGTTTGTATAACTTTCATATAATGTCCCTCTACAAAATTCATTTCCTAAAGTGAACATAGTTTCAAACATAAAAAATTAATATATTTTTCTACTGGAAAGCATGCTATTAATATTCTTAGAGAGCATATTGCGGTACAATAGAAATAATATAAACATTAATCATCTGTTAAAAGTTCGTAACGGATTCACTTCCCATTATTTTTAATGGATTCAACGCAAACAATGAAAGTAAGTTAGAACAAGACGTAAGGAATGAATGAATCTGAATGAATGTTACCACGCTACGAGTAACAATCATTTACAGTACTTAGTTGTAACAGTCACATATCTAGGTAAATACAATGTTTGAAATTGGACTTACGGTAAAAAGTTCTAGGAAAGTATGAATGAAAATGAAGCTTACTTCATGCTTTACTTTGTCATACATCCTGTGCCGTATCTTTTACCTGCCGCCAACTACGATATTTCATTGTTAAATTATCCTATACCTTAACTTGTCCCAACTTGATCACAACAAAAAATGTTAGGGAACAATCGAAGCGGCCTGCGTGGTAGTGGCTCGCATTGTTACATTTTCGACCCGCATTTAGAATATTACCCCAACTGCCACACGGACTCAGGTATTTATGAATGAACGTGAGGCGCTGGTGAGCGGGACTGTCGACGGCGGTCACAGCCAGGTAGAAAATTACACTTTTGGAATTCTTTTAACACGCTGAGTAGGGCTACTCAACTCCGTGGCCGAGGATAAGCCGCAGAGCGGGGCGCGGGGTTCCGCCGACGCGCATGCGTCGAGCTCTTTTCACACAGAGGATCCCTCCCTCTCAGTTGACTTATAGCCGTCGCGAGTGAGCGCCGTGTCGTCATGTGTCGTTCACTAACTTTCTCGAGCAGTGATGTGATACGGTATCACGATATAAATAAAATATTTATGTAGATACTTGTGAGTTTACTGACACTGTGAATTAAAGTGAATTAAATAACTTTTAAGGAAATGGTTATGGTGATAAATATTTAAAAAAAAAAAACTTTGTCAAAATGAAGTGGTTCGTAGTAGCAGTGACTGTGATGGTGACGAAAACTATCTTAGCTGGGATTGCACCTCCTGGATCATGTCCAGCTGTTTGTGGGTGCAAATGGAAAGGCGGAAAACAGACCGTTGAATGTGTAGATCGCGCTCTAATAACTATACCGGAGCCCGTCGATCCTGCTACGCAAGTACTTGACCTTTCAGGGAATAACTTACAGATTCTTCCTCAAGAAGCTTTTGCAAAAACGGGCCTCGTTAACCTTCAGCGAGTGTATCTCCGAAACTGTAATATAGGCCAAATAAATGACCGAGCATTTAAAGGTCTTACTAATTTAGTGGAGTTGGATCTCTCTTATAATTTACTTACTCAGATACCTTCAAATAGCTTCAAGGATGCGCCGTTTCTTAGAGATCTTATGCTTTCTAATAACCCTATATTGAAGATACATTCGGAATCTCTTCATAACTTGGGAAGCATCGTCAAGCTGGATTTGTCTAGATGCGATATTAGAGATATAGCGGCAGATGCATTTAAAAACTTACATTCATTAGAATCGTTAAAGCTGAATGGTAATAGTTTGCGTGACTTACCTTTAACCTCATTAGAAAAGCTAGAAAAACTACGAGTTATTGATTTATCTGAAAATCCTTGGACATGTACTTGCCGGCTACGTGATTTAAAAATGTGGCTTTCAAAACATAAGCTATTCTCATCTCCCAGTTGCTCGTCACCGAGTCGTCTTGCAAATAAGCCGTTTTCGGAATTATCTCTCGAGGAATTTGCTTGTAAACCAGAAATATTACCCATTAATAGATATGTGGAAGCTACTGTAGGTGAAAATGCTACAATTGTTTGTAGAACAGAAGCTATACCAAGTCCTAATATAAATTGGTACTGGAATGGACGCCTTTTACAAAATGGAAGTAGTTTCAATTCACATCAAAGAATCTTTATTTATGAAGCTGGTGATCGGAAAAAAAGATCCACTCTCGTTATAACGAATACACAAGACACAGATTTTTCTGAATTTTATTGTGTTGCCGAGAACAAAGCAGGGAATGCTGAAGCTAACTTCACAATACATGTCACTCAAATGACTGCTGGAATGGCGTCTTTAGGAAGCGCCCAAATTGCGAGCCTGGGAGCTGCATTGTTCTTAGTTATAATTGTGATTTCATTAGGACTGCTTATTACTTTCGTGCGATTCCGACCGACTCCGGCTTGTGAAAGTAAAACGCCAAATACTTTAGACCGAGTCGTATCTGGCAATGAAGTTCATCCTACCGTAACAGACAGGCCCCATGTAGCTGTGTTGGCTAACAGACAAGAATCTCCAAATTATGACGAAACTAAATGCAACCCAGTAATAAAGCCTCCGAGGACTAATGATATACCTTATACAACTAATCATTATGAAGGTCGGGGTAGTTTAGTCCAGGCAATGGGACCGCCGGTCGTATCTCCGACAGTCTCCGGAGGTATCGATCCCGACCTCATTAACGATACGAGACCCGATAGCGTCAATCGACCAGGTAGCGGAGAATATGCACGTGAAGCTTCCGATTCATTATATCCATCCGGTCTGTGGGATCAAATAAAAATGAATCAGGCTAACAACTTGGCACGGGCGATCAGTTCCGCGATACCAGCGTATTATAACGATCGCACACCGATCATTGAAAACAGTAGTGTTAACGGTTCACAAGAAGAGCTCGGATATATGAGTCGCACGTTCCCACGATCTCATGCAATGGCGGCGGCTAGTACAGCACCAGGAGACGCTCCTTATCCTACTGATTATGGATTGCCAGTTGGTGGTGCGCGTACACTACGTGTGTGGCAGCGTGCTCCGCCCGTGCTGCCTCCTGTCTCGGCTTTGAAACGTGTGCTTACTATCACGAGGCCATCCGAAGATGGTTTCCAGGATGGCTGTGCTACAGATGTTTAAAATGATGTATTATACCAAATGTATATTGTAAATAATAAATTAAACGCAGTATATGTAAACAGGTCATGTAATAGATTTTGTATTATATAATTTATTTAGTTATAATTAGTGGAAGGTTACATTGGATCCAATGTAAAGGATCTACGACTGATTAGTTGAAGAAAGTAAGTTATACAGAACGGTATTTATAAGATCGCCAAATGATTAATTAAAATTACTGTACGTAATATAAAATGAATGTTGAAATTCAGTATAGATGTTACATTATAATAAATGTCGTAATAAGAACTATTGAAGCGATATATCCAAAGAAGTTTCCCTTAAAAGAATACAATAATGTTTGTAACTAGGTATTATTGTTGTAATGCACGGTGAATGTTATTTGATGTAAGATAAATAATTTAATGTAAATGAGTATTTTATGTTGAAAACTATGATGGGAAATAAACAAGGCGATTACAAAACTAACACTGACTATATCTTTTGCGACTTCACAACCTAATTAATTAATAAAATGCTTAAAAATTACTATTATTCTATACTTGCTTCTATAAAATAATTTTATGAATATTAAACTTGGAAACAATTGAACATTAAATTTGAATTGAATTGAAATATTAAGCATAACATAATTAGTTATTACTAGCAGGAAATTACTTTAGAGATAAAAAGGTTTTCTCTCGGACAGGTACATAATATGAATACATAGAATTATAGTCTTTATTGCTTGGAACCTAACATCTATATATGTGTGAAGTACACCTACAGGTCTATGACACTGCGACCGGAAGTCACGGTAGATAAGACGTCCGTTCGAAATACATCAAAAGAACCTCAACAGTTTTTGTATGTCGACTAAGTTAAATATTATTTCCTGAATGGGCAAGTGTAAAGAAGATAAACTATTTAAAACAATGCCTTATCTGACTTTTTTTATAGAAATATTCAATTTAATTTCCACTTACCAATTGGATAAGATATTTTAATTTATTACTATCAACTGAGGCTTAAATAATTGCTAAAAATATTACTATTATACAATATAATAATAAAGCCTAATATTCTTTTAAAATTTACTAAATGTTATGAGGATGTGTTGTAAAGCAGTGTACTACATGCTTACGTGAACAATGTTAAACATTTCTTTCCAGTCATTCTCCGCAAGTTGCAAAATTTTAGCATTTATTGATTCGCCAAACGAAAATATTTCCTTTTTCAGCCTTTACTATATTAAATCCTTCATAACTTGCTAGTTTTTATATTTTAATATAAATGTTATTTTCTTTTATTCAATATTCCAACAGAGATATTATTTTATAGTGTGCTGTAAACTTCGAGATATCATAAATTTGAAAAGTATTATTGTTCGGCTTTGGTTTATTATAAAAAAGTTAAGCTCACCTCCCGGAGCAACGAAATGAACCGGTTGGCGTTATTTCATTTCCGCTCAATTTTGTTTTTTATTAGAATTGGTCCCTAAACGGGTTCAATGGAATCGGTCTCTAAGCGTAAAGTGGTCAAATATTGTTAGGTGGACTTGATTTACTAAATTATCACAATATATATAAACATTTACTAAAGTTATATCACATGAGACGACTGAAACAATTAACATGTAACTTGGATAATTAATATAAAATCTTTATTAACTTTGCTGAACGACTGCGTTATGTAAATTTTACGTTCCCTATCGTAACAATATAATAAACCTGTCAAGTGAAGCTGAGACGGAGAAGATAAAATGTATCGCTAATGTATACAGTCATCACAATGGAACACACACACACACACACACACACACACACACAGAAACATATGTATGTACTTATTAGGAACAGGTAGGAAGAATATTATGTACATTTACTGCTTTCTAAAACAGTCCTAAAATTTTATTAGTAATAGTGTTTTTAATAGGTTTATTTAAATGGACTACTAGTTATGTAAGGTTGTATGAATAAAAATATTAGAATCAGATTGTTCATTTCAAAAATAGGCAAATGGATCACTTTAACAGAAGGCAGTGCTTTCGTGATTGATGAAACGATGTATCTGGTTTATGTTTACACCAATCCATTATGTAAACTGTTTTCTCTTATATATATATATATATATGGTTCTGGTTAGAATATATAAAAAATATTAAATATTCGTCTTGAACATATATGACTTGTCATCATTGTGTTTAAATGTTGGTTCTTTGTTCCCTAAAAACTTATATAATATCAGCGTGATAACATGAATTGGAAAATAATTCCCCATAGCAATCTGACTCAAATTGAGGCGAGCGTAAATTACGTAGCTCTGTTAAGTGGGGTTCGGTAGATTTATTTTGTATTAAAAAATAAAAAAAAATATGTAAATTTTTATTCATTCCATTCCTTTCATTCAAACAAAATAAATAAACAAATTGTTCTGCTTATCGATTTTGCATAATAATTTGATTTACAATGAACAGTTTTTTTATATTTTATATGATTATTTAATATGAATAAAGAAAGGACCGTTTCAAATGCTTATTTTTGATATATAATACTCAAGCTGTGAGGAGTTTAGTTATAGGTATGTCGTGCAGGGGAGGCTAGGATTAGAAGAGGCCCGCGGCAATAATACTTCATCATATTGAATATATATATATTACGTTTGTTTTGTTCAAGTTTCGTTATAAAGGTCTCTCGAGACACGAGTTACAGCTTTCGGCTTGTTTCTTTAATTAAGAAGTGTCGTCACTTTTCGAACGACTATATTTACACTTTATAAATTTAACTTTTTTTATTTTTCTTTAAATGTTATATCTTGTTAATCATATTAAACATTTTTTTTAATTAAAATGACTCCTAAATATTTGAAATAACTGTTCTTTTTGTTATATTTTTCTCAATGTCTCTAGTGTCGAGTGAAAAACTATTACTATTATTTATGTGTCAAGATTCTAGTTCTAATATGACATTTTCAAGAAAAACTTCTGTCACGTAAAAATCTTATTACACACATTACAACGATAATGTACATCATTTTTCGTATTTCATATTTGAGAAAAACATTACTTAGATTATTTAAGATTTGAAAAAAATATATTTCAGTTATTTCTGTTGCGACATAAATGCAAAATCTTTGTTGAAATAAAAAAAAACATTCAATTGTAAACACAGATTTAAACATTATGTTACAAAATCAATGCTGTTCTCCAAAAGGATAATTGTCTCCCCTCAGGTAACAGTTATTGAAAGGACATTTTTTCATGTTATTACATTATAAAGTGGACCATTTATTCACTGTACCTGGTACTTGTATAATGATGAAAAGGTTCTTGAGGTATTCGTATAAGAAGGAATGATTTTTTTTATTGAATAAAGTTTAGATAACAACAAACTTAGTTATGAAAGACAAGCAAGCATAACCACCAACCATGCTAGTTTATTCAATTTAATAATTGATGGTCTAAGTAATGAATTGGACACTTCTATTTGCGCAGTACGGTTTGAAGATTTATTGACGAATACCGCGAGTACCTTTACCGCTCAAGTTAATTACTCAATCTGACACACGACGTATGTATTTATTTAAATTGAATTAATTAAATTTACTTTCAAATTAAAATGTTACATCCTCATCTTATATGAAGATAAAATAATATGTGTGCAATTTAATAAAACGTCTCTTATATACCAAGCAACATCATTAAGATTTCTTGACTATCATCTTTACATATGAAAGAAATATATGAAAATAAAAGCCTAGTTTGAAAATTTTTAAGAAGAAAGTTTAATACGTAAAAGTATCTACAAGTATCTCCTAATTGAACAAAGCTCGCTATTATTTACGTCGCTACTTACAACTTGGCACTATCGGGTCTTTAGTATAAATTGAATTCGATCTTCCAATGCTCCTTCCCTCTTCTGCTTGGTTTGCTGCCAGCCGTCTACTTAATATTAAATTTTTAAATGTTACTGCCAATTCCTTACAAATGTATTAAATCAAGGCTCACTTAAACTGAGTCGTAAATGACGTTAAATCTAACTTTATATGTCGGCGTCATTCAGGTAATTAATAATTTATATCTGACAGGTTTACATAGAGGCGCTGCTGTTTGTCCTTGACATACTGAGGACGTTAAAATTCCAGTTCATATTTTATGATATATACTTATACGAAACATTTATCTACAATAATATAAATTAATTCACTTAGTATACGAGTACAGTAGTACAACGTATTTCAATCTATTATATATTACTATTTTTACAAGAAAACAATTTTCAGTTAGGATCAAGGATGCAAGACGAATCTTTCAATCAATCCTGACCAACGGATAAGCTTTCTATTTACTCCTGCAGACTGTATGCTTAGTCCAGGTTGACATTGTCACACTACTTACAAGTAATCCCCGTTCCTCATTCAGTAGCTCACGTCAACAATATAATGTGCGACGTTTTTTTAATGAAAAATTCTTCAAGCTCCGTTTGTAGAATGACTATGGTAACTTGTACTATGCGTACTACAAAGGACTGCGTCTTTGTTGTCTAGCACATAACATTTGGATGTCTTCAAAACAAAAGTTAGTAATCTTTGAGGGGGTTAGTGCTTAATCAAAAGTCTAAACCATCATTTTTACATTATATCAAAAAGAATATTATTCCAAGCACTATTCAGATGATCACTGAGAATGATTTAAATTTTTCAAGTAGCTAATATATTTTTAAGTACAAAACATAACATAAGCCAAAAAAATAATAATATCTAAATAGTTTTCTACAGAGAATGATATAGAATATGCGTGATATGCAAAGACGATGTCAAACTTCCATAAAGTTAAAAATAGGAACTTAATAAGAAATTAGTAATGAGGGGTGAATTTATTGAAAACTGATGACATAAAGCTGGTTAGCATGAAAATCCCTAAGAGAAACTTTTTCTGACAGTTCGGGTTTCTGCTGCTGAAAGGATTTTAATTGGCCTAGAAATTGCTAAAAATCCTATTACTTCCACTATATGTAACATTA